GTCAATATTTCATTTTGAAATGTTCTCTACATCTGACGAATGGTTTTGTCTTGATTAGAAGATAGACAAGTCCATTTAAGATATTTAGCGTGGTTAGGTTCAATTATTGATTTGATGATGTCAATACTTATACAAATCTAAGATAAAACAAGGTAATATTAATTTTCAATAAGTTATTCCTTTACCTGCTGTATTTGAGTGATGAACTTGTCAAGGGGATTTCAAAAACAAATTGTGTTGCTCAGTCATCTGAATAGGGATTGGTTAGACTACAAGAATCAGGTTGAAGATTTGCGTGCAAGAAACGATGGATTCCAATTGGCACAGTATTTGATATACATGTATTTTGCCACAGAAAATGTAAGCTGTAAAGCTTTAACGGCGAGACGGATAATTTGAACCAAATGTACGTTATAGTGTAAATGTTTGATTGCGAGCAGATTAATGTTCATAATAGTTGATATGTTAAAAATTGTTACAGCATTTGGTAAAGAAAAGACATTATTTTACAAACAAAACTCCTTCTAATAAAAATTAGATCTTGAAGTTAGGATTTATGTTGAAAAATAACTTTCAATAAAAATCAAGGTTTTTACACTGTATAATTGGAATATTTGACGTCATTGTATTTATTGACGTTATTTTTCAAGAAAGACATTATCAAGTACACAATCCGACAAAGAAGCGGACATTTGACACCATTTTTTTCATCTTCATGGAAATGAAGAAATCAGTGTTGGAACATATGTGTTATATTGTATATTTTTTCTATCAATACCAAATGTTACAGTTTGGTAAAATTTGACGTGTGACCTCGAACGACTAATACAGTGATGATAAGACACCTTAATACAATATTAATGGTTAATAGACTAATTTTGAACAAAACCATGTATTATTTTTGCTCTAGATAAATTATCTTCTTAACAACACGCTTCATTAGCGGCATTTCTGAAAGATTTTTTATAGTGAACTTGACAATTGAGGTGTAAGTTAAAGTAGACTATAATTTCAGGATTCAAGGATAATATCACGTGTATTCTAATAGAAAACAAAGCCAATCTGACCATTCGTTAAACCTAATATCCTTGGAAATTAGAAATCAAACACATATCATATGAAAAGCTATTAATGTGACAGTAGTGACAATTAGAGATACTAATGCCATATTGGTGTTCTCTCGCGACATTTTTGATGAATTTTTGAGTCACTAAAACACAACAACTTGTTGGCTATAATAAACATATGTCAATCAAAATATTTAGACAAATCTATTGTGATAATTTGGGATCACAATACATGTATTTTTACATAGAGTTTAGATGTATGGTTAGTTCTTTTTGGTATTTTAGTATATCTTTTATGCCATCTTCGTTTTGTACCTCGCACAATCTGTAAATATATTAATTTCTGCTATATGACTAATATGTTTCAATTATAGAAATATTAAGCTAAATTTTCACTCAATGTTTTACATATCAGCCATAAAGAAAGATTCTTTAAATACCTATCCTTAAAGTAAATTACTCAATTTTGTTTTGTACTTTACGAAAGATTATGAAAGCAAATCTGTTTCAAAAGGCCAATCTTGCAAGACCGTGATAGGCATTCCTATTATTTCTTCTTCGAGGCTCAAGTGTCGTCCTACATTATCTTTAGAACCTTTAAAAAAAACTGTTGGTAGTTCGATTTAATTAATTAATCTAATTTAATTTAATAAGTACTGATTCATTTTAGAGACATAAAGTTCAACAAATTTGTCTAAGCTAGTTAATAAATCTGATTTTGAATGTTTGAAAAATCTTCCCTCGCAAGCATTAATCTCAACAAATTAACATGAAAATTGTAGACCCGGTTTGATTGAGTCTTTGCATGAGGGATAATGAATAAGTGCAACATACCTCACGCCCCTTTCACCAGCTTGAGCGCTAATCAATGCTCAACACTTAATAGTGCTGGCATCAATGATCCCGAACGTGGGGGCCTCCGTGGCCGAGTGGTTAAGGTCGCTGACTTGAGATCACAGGTCCCTCACCGCTGTAGGTTCGATCCTCACTCGGGTCGATCAATGATCCCGAAGGACCAGAAAAATATAACAACACTGAAGTGAAGTACGAGGCAACTTTTTACAGCTGCCACACGGCACTTGACACCTGCTGTTGTGAAGTATAAAAATCTGGAAACAAAGTGATCCCTCGGAAGCATTAATCATTACAAAATTACCTGAAAATTGCAGACTCGGTTTGATTGAGACTATACATGAGGGATAATGAATAAATGCAATATCCCTCACGCCCCCTAGCACCGGCTTGAGTGGTACTCAATTTTCAAAATCTAATAGTGCTGGCATCAATGATTCCAAAGGACCAGACAAATATAACAACTTTGAAGTGAAGTACGGGGCAACTTTTTACAGCAGCCACACGACACTTGACACCTGCTGTTGTGAAGTATGAAATGAAGTCCATGCTTAAAATTGGGGAAAAACAAGAATAACTCAAGAACAAAAATGAAAATGTTGCAGGCTTAGTTTGATTGAGCCTGTCCCTGAACGGTACTGGAAAGTGCAATTAACCGCCCATGCCCCCTAGCAACGACAACGGCTTAAGTAGAAGTAGATAATGAAGATTTCATAAAGATTTTTATTCTTGAAAAATTTATCTTTACTTGTAATAAGAATGAGTTTGTTTGACGTAAGTAGTCCGTGTAGTTTTACTGAGCAATATATAGATATGCAGTAACTCATTGACTCATGTAACTTCATCAGAAATGTTTGTCTGCGCATTTTCGAAATGTTACAGAAAAGTGTTACTGTATTGCCTTTAATAGTTAGATCTGGAATTGCTACCGTCATTTCTGCAAGTAAAATGTATAATATATACCTCATACTTCTTATTACAATCATTCCCTCAGAGACTTACAACGCAGACAATCTTCAAAGATTTAGCCTCTTCACAACTTCAGCAAGCATTTCAAAACACATACCTGTTTTGCAAAAAACAACTCAAGGCAAGCTTCGTTCATTTACATTCATTTAGTCCATTGGCTATATTTCTTGTTTACTAAAAGGTTTTTGAGCTTTAAAAGGGATATGTTTTAAAACATTGATTTATGATTCTGAATTAGTGATTTTTATATTTGTTGGAAAAAATTGTTGAAAAGAAATAAGAAAAGCTATATTTCTGTAGAACCTCACTTGTATGAATAGAAACAGGCTAATGATAATCTTAGAAATATAATATAATATAGAACGATCTGTTTGAGAATTTTAGGATAGTATATCTTTAAACATTTTAAAGATATTAAAAGAATGTTTATATGTCATATAAAATATGCTTTTTATACCTTTAAAAGTTATTTGCGCTGGAGGGATATCTCCCCTTTTCAAGATTGTTCCAATAACAATTACAGATTGTTCCAATGACAATTTCGAGATCACTTTATCTGCTTCGACCGTTTAGTTATTTTAGATTATTACTATAGAGTTTAAAGGTCACGAATAAATAATGTAGTTTATTTGAAATAAATAATTAAAGAAAATTCTTTACCATAAGATGATTAGCATCTTGCAAAAATATTTCTTATGGATAGGACATAACTTTTAATACTGTTGATATATCGTGATTGCAAGATTTTGTTTTTAAACAACTGTCTTAACCCTTGGATAAAATGAAGTTTACCTTCATTGAGCTTTACACTTTTTTTAACGATTAATGGAAAATCTTTTATTTTGTTTGCTTGCTTTTGTGCGAAAGTTTGTATGAATAAAAGTTCACACAAAGATGTTGAAGATACTAGAAAACTAGTATAACGACAAAAAAAAGTAGTCATAAAAATCCCACACATATCCAAGGCTAATGGTTTTTTTTCATGTTGGCGAACATTGAAGAGACAATCGTCTGATTTCAATATTTAAGTGTCAAGAAATATGTTTCTATAAACCGAGCCTGAACATTTTCACCTTTTTGACGGTTTGGGCGTTCATTAATGAATCTATTTAACCTCTAATTCTTCGAAGATCTAACTGCAAGATTTGAAGATGTTAAGACATCAGACTGAAAACACACTATTTTTGCCAATTTATCATTTAATGGTTATTAAAATACATTCAATACATATTAAAGTCTTCGGAGAATATCTACGTGCACAGCTGTAAAATAGACATCTTACTCGTGTTCTTTTATCATATATTTTAATAGATAAATGGAAATGATTAACTTTATGTTATTTCGTATAGTGCAATTATGTATGCATTATTATGATTATTCTTTTCATGTGACATGCACTTTAGAGCAATTTATTAAATTGAATCTGTTGATATCTGGACATTTAATTTGCAGTTTTGCTGTCAAGTTAAATACAAATATTCATTTAGCAATATAATATAAAGATTGAATTGTCAGCAAATAATATCGGAAATCCCATGACCATATTAATAACAATATCATTATTCTGATAACACACAATGCACGTACTGAAATTGAAATTACTCTTAGAATTCTATGAACATCATTACTTAAGCTGACAATAAACCAGTTTTATTATATATATATAATCATTTTGAAATTTTATTTAAAAGGACGTGAATGGTATTTTGCTAATCAAAATTGTTACATTGAATGATTAAAGCCAGATGGGAATCGAGTATTGGGCATATAATAATTCACTTGTTACAAATGCACGAAAATGAAATTTTATCAAACATTTGTATGACCGTATTTCTCATGAAATAACGGACTAAATATTCGTATATATTGTAGTGATTGGTTTAACGCATATTGAAAGTATTTTATTTAACTTTACAAAGATAATGAGTGCAAAGATTATCAAGCTAATAAACTGTTTACAAATGCTTGTAATATATCAATAATAAACCAAAATGAATAAATAATTAATAAAAAGATCTTCTTTTTGCACTGATAAAAACAAAAGAAATAAATCAAATTGGTTAAGTAAAAGATTTATTCAAGGATTTGGTCGAATTGATATCAACAAATATAATGATATCAACAAATATAATAAATGAAAATGGTTTAGTTAATGATTTGTTTAAGAATTTTGTTTAAACATATTTATTCAACATAACATTTAACATGTGAACAATATTTACAAAATACAATTTGGGATTGATTTCAACAAACATAATAAGGCAAAATGGTTACGTAAATGATTTATTCAACGATTCTGTCCAATTAAATACAAGGATAAACATCATTTTGAAAAAAACAAAACAAGACAAAAAAAACAGGACTCTTTCATGATATCCATCTGATTCAGAAGTAAATCTTGAAATGTATATGTATATACATGTACTATAGAAAGTGATTGGAATAAAAATGTAATAGAAAAAAACAGCATGACTTTATCATTTCCATAAAATATGCACCATCACATTGTCAAACGTTTCTTTTAAGAATAAAGAAAGACTAATGTACACATCACATATTATGTAAATTTAAAGGCATTGGTGAACAAAGGAGGAACAAGAGGAGCAAACACAAGTTGCAACTGTAGACATTTAAGTAAGAATTGTTTGTAAAATATGTATTCCTCTATTGGCGACCTTTATTATTCTAAACAATGAAACCAAAATATCGACATGGTAATATGAAATATTTTGACTTCCTAAATCATATGATACAGCACATTTCATTAAAGGAACTGTACTGAGGGCGGAAAATGGTAAAAATGAAACTCTAACACAGATCAGCTAGTGTTCCTTAAACGGAAACATATGCAAAAACATAAAACATATGGATGTTTTATTTCAAGCCGATATGATTTAAAAGCAATCAAACGATTTTTTCATTTTTGATTTTTTCTCAATTTGCACAATAAAAAGCATTATTCTGCAAAAAGGTGTAAGCTATTATATTTTGTACACAAAATATTGTCCTATACCTACAGCAAATGGAACACAAATCTTATTTTATAAAATATTTCAAGTAGATTCGTGTCAAAAATCTTCAGTGTATTCTCTTCAAGGCGATTTATGTAAATTGATATGTTGTTGCTATAACAACCATGAAGACTAGAATTGCTATATGAAAGAATGGTTGAATTGCTGCTGATGAATGTACTTTAGTTTTAGTTTTACAATTTTCTTTTTCTAATTCAAAATCTTCAGGATTTTCCGGTGTATTGTCTAACCCTAGTAAAAACAAATCTTTCTTCGGATAAATGCCAGCCCACCGAATTTGGTCTTTCTTTATTCTTGGTAAATTGGGATCAGTTAGAGAAAGATTTCCACCAATTATCAAAGCATCCTGAAATAGTAAAAGACAGGGACATTGACAAAAACTACAAATTGAAAATGAAATAAAAAAATAATAATGGACCGTTTTATTGAGCTTGACGTGGATATTTAAAATCTATTTTTTCCATTTCGTTTGATGGAAAACTATTTTGCATTACAATATTTACATTTTACAGTTTTTTTATAATATAGACAATTCACGGATTTCATTTTCAATTGGTAAAAAGCACGAAATTCCCGTGTCACGAAATTTAGTGACTTCACAGTAAACAATGGTAGCTTATTCTATTAATGTCAAATTTAAAATGAAAGAATTAAATGCAAAAGATCGATTTCTAAAACAATCATTCATTTTTTTGCATATACGTCGTTAATGCAGTGTTCTGTGGGATATTCTCACAGCATTTAAATAGAACAATATTACTCCAATTACATTTACCTCCTTGATCGACACCAGATCCACCTCTGCAAACACATTTTTAGGGAGAAGATTTTTCAATGGAATACCCCGGAAAATGTCTGAAAATATACAGGTATAAATGTACAGGTATGTAAAATACAAGATATTGCAAATATCCATTGGTACTTCAATTAGACCACTAAGTCAATGATTATCGTTGAGTATATCTTATATGTAAATTTATCTCATGCGCCATTCTTTGAATTAACTTTGGCCAATTTTAATGTATACTTTAATGGAGGAAATTAAAATCCTAGTGGTAGGTTAGCAAAAAGTGAAGCTTGAATTCAATGACACTTTTCATATTGATTTAAATACTTTTACTCATCTAAGCCCCCTAGCACCGGCTTTATCAAAATTCTAAATTTATATAACCATAACAGAAATTCTATGACAATGCATAAAACTGTTAATATACTTACTACCAAATTTATGTAAATGGTTCCGTACGTAATACGGTGCTGAATACAATAAGCTGGACAATCCCCTGTCCTAAATAAAAAGTATAAAACATAAGTGAGTGTTTCTCAGTCATAATTTTAACTTTTACCTACACTAAATAGCGTTAATGGAATTGTGCATCTTTCAATAAGGACAAAACCGTCGATCATTTTAAGAGAAAATTTCAAATTAAGTTCTCACTGAATATCTGACAATGTCTGAGATTATGACCTGACGGTGAGAAGTGATGCCGGTTGAGCTTGGTCAGCATTGGTCGCATGGATAGATTCAGTTGCTGGTAGTACACTACAGGTTAAATAAAACATCATGCATGTGTGGATCAATTGTTCTTTACGATACAGACGTATCTTGACATTCAATTTCTATTCTCACCTTGTAACATTTCCAAATTTTAAAGCATTGTCACCTATATCAAAGACGTGTTGTGGAATATTCCAAATGTTCTTTTCTATCTGTTCTTTTACACCTATGCATCCGGAAGGCTGTATTTTACAAGTGTTAAATACTTACCATGATATGGCCAACATTCGACTCCAGTATTGTAAAATTTCCTCTGAAATACAAAATCATTTGAATTGTAATTGTTCAAAAGTTTGTTCTCAACTTCTCACAATATTTCCTCTTTTAGTTCTAAAATATTCATTTAAACTACGATTTGACAAAAACTTAAATCATATTAATAGCAGCTTGCCTTCAAATTCATGCTAATTTTCTTGAAAATTTTGAAATTGTACTTATTGTAAAAGTCTGTGTGTCATACTGAGAAACAATGTTGTAACACTTGTATGTCTGATATCACTTATTGTCCAATTCAATTGCTTGATTAAATTAAGGGTGAAAATCTAAATCTGCTTTTTCATGATCCTATCATTTCCAAAGTGTAAGTATTCCTTTTTTTCAAAACTATATTTTATTTAATAGAATGTATGAACTGTAACATTTTGTACTGTGCTATTTCCATGATCTTATGGAAGATTCTCAAAAATATTTTCTTATACATGTACATGTATTTTTGCATTATTCATTTTCAAAAATATCATAAATATAAAATGTTGTAAATGCATGCAACAAATACACAGAATTTACAGACTTTAAATATTTTATATATAAAAGTAAGGTATGAAATAACCAAAGTATATAAATATCCAGATATACTCACTCACCCGAATGTCAAAATTTTCATCGTGATGTATTGGTTATCAAAGCCGAATTGTGTTGGGAAAAATAAATTCTGAAATTACAAGGGCAAAGACCAATCATGTTTACAATAAATTATAAAAATGCAGTTATGAGATATATACAGACACATATTATCGTAATGTTATCCACGTCTTTTTTCAGTTACCATTATTTATTAGGTTAATATGTTTGAAATAAGGAAAAATATTGAAACAACATTTTTGAATCTGATCTGTACGAAAGATCAGAAGGAACACTTTAACTTCTTTAATTCGCCATTTAAAAAAAGAAATGAATACATTATTCAACGATATCACATGACATATTTAAACGTTCACAAAATTTAAAAGTCAATAATTCACGACTAAAAATTCACAAATAAACTTCGTGAATTCATATTTTATTATCAATCGAATCAATCTTTACGAAATCACGATTTCAACTCTATAAATACGTGATTTCCGTTCGTGGATTTTATATCTTGATTTAATGAAGTCATGAAGATGAAATAATATAGGCGTGAAGTCGCGTACATATAGTTGAAATAAGTGAAGTTGAAATTTTGAAAAAGTGGACCCATGAATTTGAAATCGTGGATTCATGATGCTAAACTAACGAATTCTTGAAGTTTAGATGTCTCTACCGGTCCGTTATGGATTTATCTCTACACATTTGAAAAATTCGGAGTAACTGTATTTATACCATTGAAAACTTTAAAGCATTGAAAGTTCTGTTTCTGTCACAGTTTAGTCTGACTGATAAGGTTGCGTTGATGTCGAAATGAATTTGGACAGACCCATTCTTGATTGTGAAGTAGATGTCGAAGTTTGATACAACCAACGTACCTACTGCATCTGGATACTTTCTACCGACCTGTAAAATACAAAATAAATCTTTCAGTAAAAACAGATGAAACTAGATATTTTGTTAAAATTAAAATCATGGTAAGCATGTCTTTATAAAAATGAGAAAAAAGAAATCCCCATAGAACGGACAAGATGATGCATGCACAGTTGATTGAGTTTGTTCATTGGCGGTATTGGTAAGTGCAGAGCTTCTGTCCATACCCCTAGCACCGACTTAAACAGAACTCAACATTAAGGCATGCTTATTGTTAATTCTAGAATTTAGAAACATCTGCAGAGCTTTTCGTTAATACGGCGATTACCATAGGACCCTAAATGTGCCACATCCATGCCATTCCTTGAAAAACAGCGTGTGTTCCCCTATATAAAGGAATGAAGAAAGTCTAGGATACGTATATCAGGGTATACATTATAATATTTATCTAGGACTATTTTCAGTATAAATCTTAATATTCTAAACGGTTAAAGACATTAAAAAGTACTTTCGAGTAAGGAATGCGCTTTTATGTTCTGTCGCCTAAATAATGCTAGAATTAAGGTAATAATGTAAGATAGGTTTGATTATAGTGACTTTTTGCTATAATATTAATAACATAATAAATACATATGTAAAGAACACCCGACAATTTGGGCACATAAGTAAACTTCTTATCACAATAATATTCAAATACTTAAAACATCATTATAATTATTTTAAAGATGAAAAATATGACGACGGTTAGCTTGCATTCTGAAAAGAAAGTTTTGCTTTTAAAATATGTGTACTCCAATTTTACATTATATTTATTTTTATAACTTATGGTAGCTCTTAACTTAAAAGAAACTTGATGAAGTCTAGAAATTGTTTGAAATTAAGTGCAAAAGTATTATTAATAAAATAATTTCAATATCTTCTGTCTAGATCGTTTGTAACACTAAATACTCATTGTATATTTTTTCGATTTGTAACAATTCCTTACAATAAGATAAAAATAATTTCATACCATAGGAAAAAGAAAACTCATGTAGAATCCCTGTGTGTCCAGTTCGGAGATATCTTTAAACATTGGGAGTAGTTTTCCGAGCTAAATAGAAATTGAAAAAAAGAAACACATCAACAAACAACATCTAAGTTTGTTAAAGTAAACCAAAGAGATAACGTTAAGATTTTCACCTTATCTAATGACAACCCTTAACCTGCTGGTACAGGACAGTAATCATACTTTGCCGACAGGATAGAGCCTGCAGGCCTGGCTGAATATTTGTACAGTCTGACTAGCCTCTTTTAACTGGTAGTAGCTCATTTCTTGTTTTCTCTATTGAAATTTTGGACTTTGGACATTTTATTCATCTGGTTGAAATAGCTGTCAAAATATAGAAAACTTTTAGGAAACTATTGCCTGCCATATCTATCATATTGAATATGTTTGACAACTTTTGTTTTTGTCTCTAGTTATGATATCAAAAGTGTTGCATGAATTTGAATATAATTTAGATGATAAGTAGCTAATGCAAAAACAAACCGATATATCATTGACACCTATTCCAAGTTCTCTCTTGAATTTTTTAAAGAGTTCATTTAGAACACTCGGATACATCATAATCTCAAACGGTCGACTAGACGAATCTGGTAAAGGAATGGATGGCGTGAAGTCCATTGATGGATATGGCATATTATCATCCTTCGTTGAAGTTTTAATCTATAAAAGATTGTAATGCCAAATCTGTTAAAAAATATATATAGCATTCGTATATGACATTTGCTTCCTTGTTAATATTGCAAATTATTTGAGAGGGAGAAAAACATGGTCAAGTATGTAAGTTTTCCTCATCGGTATAGTTATCTTTATCAGAACAAAACTTAAGTTTGAAGTGTTGCTTGAACATGACTTTTTATTCGATAAATGAAATGAGGTGTGGACAATTTGTGATCCTAGGATGTGCCGACCAGCAGCATTACGATTGCCGTTTTTATCTTTATTTCTTATAATCTGATTTATTATTTTCTCCTGATACCGACATTGAAACATACAAAAAATAAAAAAATGATAAATGTAAGTAATAAAAAAGATAACCAAGTCATTTAGTCCAAGATGCAATACGTTGTATTTCATTTTGTTTCCATAGATGGCTTTGAAAAGAACAGCGTAAAGCAATATTTGTTTGTTTATGCATTTTCAAAGAAAGTTTGTAAAATTTACATTTGCTTCAATTCATATTAACACACAAGATTTGTTAAAAGATATGTGGCTTTTGAAACTTTCTACTATATTTTTGCCATAAAAATCAAGAGATCGGGTTTATAGATATAGGGTTAGTTTGAAGACCTCATGTGTGATAATGATGAAATCATTCTTTGTGTCAGCATAAGATCTCTCAGTTACCACTGTGATGGTCTTATCAAATATTGTACACGTGACTTCAGACTCTGAAAAGGTAAAAAAAAACAGCATCTAATGCAAGAGAAACCCCTCTCAAAAGTATGGCATAAAAGTACTATTTCTTTCAAATAAAGGCATATTTTTAAAATTCATTCAACAATGTTATGTTTTTACATTGAAAAAAGATAAATGTTTACCTTCAAAGGCAAGATAGTATTTTCCGTTGTACACTTGGCAAATCTGTAAAAAGTAATGAATTTTAACAGTATAAATTATTATTTCTTTATATATAACCGGATTTCAATATACCTTGGAATATGTCGATACTTTTCTTATAGTTTTAAAATTGTGGAAAAGTCGTATTAAATGCTCGGAAAAACTGGATGGAATCAATGATTAGACCAGAAAAATTACGACATCTCTATGGTGGCGGCTGATTTGTGCAATGTCGAATTTTCGCTCCGCGGGGTGCCATGCGAAAACACGATAATACGACAAAGTCACCAAATTATCGTACCCTCGTAGCTTTAGCGCCCGGCGAAAGTACGACACTCTTTTTTCATGTTTTCGGATGACACAATACTGAGTAAAAAAACAACAACAAAAAACAACATTGCACAAATTAGCCACCATAGAGATGAAATACAACGCATGACATCTGCTGTTAAGAGTATACAATCAGAAAAAAAGAGGAGATAACTCGCGAGCAATGACAACAAATATGAAATGAATTATGTGCCAACTTTTCATATGAAGTACCTCACTGAAATACTAGAAGAAAAGCTTTAATTTTATGATTGTAAGAATAGAATTAATTGTTTTTTAGTAGGCTAACAAAATAATTGACCAAATAAACATAAATGAAAATTTAATTTTACACATTTAAAGTATATAAAGTAATATGTTTATGTTTACTTACAAACTTTTGAAAGATGTCTTTAAGGTCCTCATTAGTTATATGTAGCCCGATGTTCTGTATGTTTTTCTCATTTACTTTGATGTCGTCTATTTTGACGGTGCAGTTTGATGTAAGTATATGTAATGTGTTTGGGGTCATTATCTGGTTTGAATTGTCTGAAAATATATTTTCTTATGCTTCAAAATGACGTGCAGACAAATGTAGTAAATAACTGTTAGAAATTTCAATGCCAAAATAAAATGAGGATGTTTTTTCTCCTGAAATATGATGATCATTCTCATTTGTTTGATAAACATTCTTCAATCCTAATTTATCGTGCATGCTAAATTACCACTCCAGGGTCAACAATATGCCATTGAGGCAATTTTGCACGAATCAAATGGAACATCAGTCATCTTTAAATATCATTATATCCTTCTGAATTTCATAAATGGACTTATCCAGCTTGATTTTGTGGAACTGTCCATTATCAAAGTGGGGATGGGGGCTATCATTACAAGTTGTGAAGTTGGGTATGCCACGGCTACAGGCCATGGTTGGACTGCGCGTATCTAAAGGCTTGTCTATGCTTACTATATCGACAATGTAAAAAGAATAATGACTTACCTACAGAAATTTGCACAATACACTACATTAACATACAAGAATAATGAGTTATACATTATGCTCGTAAAATGCATTATTTCCTTTGATGAGTTCATTGTTACATAGTTGAGAAGTTAAGGTAAAACATAAGTTGACGGTTAACAAAACTAAAAGCTTAACGTATCGAATCTCTTAAATGGGCTTTTCGGCTTTCGTTTTTTTGGGAAAATTGTCCGTTTGGGAAATCAAATTTAGCCAGACAACAGTATGGAGCCTGGTCATGCAGACTGGCTTGTCTCTATACTTAGAGGCTTATCATTTCCAGTTTAAGCAGGGTAATCATTAAAATTGCATTTTGTCACTACATATCCTAAGGACCATGGACTAGAATGAAAAAAGATGGATAAAATTTGTTATTACCCATGGAAACAACAGACGTTGCTGTCACATTGAACAAAGAAACATCTATATGTCCGTCATAAACAATGTGATTTTCACCTGATCTGAAAAATAAACACGAGATTTAAAGCCGACTCTTTCAGTTGACTAAAAACTGATCTTCAGAAATCGGACTTACAGAAAACTATATTAACATTGATTACATAAAACTCTATGAATTATTATATTTTCAATCTTGTGAAATTAAGAATATTCAAAATATAACTAAATTTACTATTAACTCATCAAATCTGAAAAATAAACACGAGATTTAAAGCCGACTCTTTCAGTTGACTAAAAACTGATCTTCAGAAATCGGACTTACAGAAAATGGAAAAATAATGATAGCGTTTACCGGTGAAAAGTAAAACGATGGTTTCGACAAGGAAGTTTAATTTGATAGAAGAGAATACGTATAATGATGGCTATCAGCACGGAAGTTGAATAAAGTAGTGGATGTATTAAAAATGACGTGATGAAAGTGGATTTTTGAAAATACCTGGAAAGTGTAAGATTCCCGTTATGATGTAACACGGAAGTGAATGTAGTGGCAAGCATTGTCCCATCAGTGGGAATCTGCACATGACTTACATGCAAGTTTGATCTGAAAATATATATTAAAGTACATGTATACAAAACATAGAGTGAGTTTTTTTTACTCAATTTCGGTTCGGAAATGTTAGTTGATTACCGTCATTTTATCAAAATCATTAAAGGAATTATAATTTAAGTATCATCTTAACATACTGGGCTTTTACACAGCACATGCCTTCATATCACAATGTATAGTATATTATTGCTTATCTAGATCCGGTAAAATATTAAGAAATCAAACAGATGAAGCATTGTTTGGTATTTATCGTTTTCATCTGTTCTACAAAAAACCTAAGTTTAAACGAGGTTTTTGTGCACAAAATCAATTTATGTTGGTTTTTAAGGAAATATTTGCTATTTGCTCAGGATATTTTTTATCAGAAACGTGCATTTGGTCTTAAAAGTCAACGATTGTGCACATTTTTCATGTTTCAGGTGTTCATATATGTCGGTCATGATGGAATGGAATATACGCATACATTAAAGGCCCATTATGCCTAAGAAATGCTATCATCTTTATTTCTCAAAAAATATTTTTTTGGTATCTTGTTACAGTTTCTAAAAATAACTCATTTGCCATGAAGATGATCTTTTTCTTCTTTAGCTCTGTTGGCAAATTGGTAAAATTATAGTGAATTAGTATTTAGTATGAAAGTAAAAATACCACTTTGTTTACATTTTGCTACCTTTATGACACATTACTGTATTTTAACGCTACTTTCTTCAGCTGTATTACTATGGATATGTTGAAACATTATGAAACACATAATTGACATTTCTAACAAATAAAAAAATAATAATTTCCAAGGCATAATGTGCCTTTAAAGTAAACTTCCTCAACAAATTTGCCTAAAAATTTGAAAATATTTGAACATATTCTCTTCAGTCAGATTTAAAACACGTGATTCATTTGTTTGTAAGCCATGGTGCATATAATTTGCTATATTTATTAAACTTTGGATTTTTTAAATAATATATCTTTAAAAGTCATATCACATGGTTCTATGAATACAGTGCCGTAAAATTTTCATTTGATATGAGGGATATCTATATGGTCTTTGTGAAATTGTATGTAAATTCTGTAAAAACTGTAATTTAAAGATTATTTTACATATTTAACAAAAAGATAATTTCATGCACAGACTATTTTGAAATTTAAGGGTGATAGACACTCCGATAAGTTTTTGTATTTGAGAGAACTTGATTCAAATGTAATAGGCTGAAAATGCGTGCTTAATCGATATAGAAAGTCAATAAATTGGATATTTGAATGAGAATTTAAATTACATCAACTCATTTAAGGATCATGTTTTACTACTTGAGGAATATCTCAGAAGACCGACATCTTTTAGCACATTATTTCAGGCATGGGTAAAAAATCATTAAACATCCGGAAACTCACTTTTATTCGACAAAACTACTGGATGTTTATATTAGAATGAATATTTTAACAATTGTACACATGTATAAATAATGATTAATTTAAATGTCATCTATTTAAATTGCTTTCATAAACCGCATTACAATGATAAAGACAAACAACATATTTCCTCCTAAATCATGTGCATGTATGCAGTTTTCATAATAAACAAAACCACATTTAATTTAAATATATAAGAACAACATTGCATTACGTGATAATATCCTATTTGCTCGTACGTCATATAATTACTTTACTGAGAATAATTACTAAATAATCTCGTGTGCATGAGTAGCTTAGTCGTGCGCATAAGATAAATAAAACCACACGCATGTCATCTTTGTGCCACCGTAAATACAGTCTTACCATTGACATTTTTATTTTTTTTTACACAAGAGTATCATTATGAAATTGACAAAATAGTAGTATCGAACTGAAAACTAAGTGACCATTGATTTGAGTCTGAAGCCTGAAGCTGAATCTTGCCTTTTAAATTAACACTGGTTAGCCCATGAACCCGACTTAGTAAATCGTGCACATGACTAAGTAACTCGTGTGCACGACATATTAACTTGTACGCACGAGATAATTAAGTCATTCGTACGACTTAGTAACACGTACGTACGACATAGTATCACGTGCGCACGAGATAAATAAAACACACACTTATCACCTCTGTACTAATTGTTCTTTCTGTTTTTTTTTTACTTCCTGCGTAATCAGGGTAAATAATCGTGGACTGAAGTGAATAAGTGTATGTATTGACCATTTCTGTTAAGGTTAAAGTTGTTAGGTTGGGTATTAGAGATCATTTAAGATAAGTATTTGAGCCGTGTCACGACAAAACCAACATAGTGCGTTTGCGACCAGCATGGATCCAGACCAGCCTGCGCATCCGCGCAGTCTGATCAGGATCCATGCTGTTCGCTATCAGTTTCTCTACTTGTAATATAGTTGGTAACCGAACAGCATGGATCCTGATCAGACTGCGCGGATGCGCAGGCTGGTCTGGATCCATGCTGGTCGCAAACCCATTATGTTGGTTTTGTCATGACACGGCTCATTTAAAGAATATACTTACAGATCATCAAGATTTGCCAGCGTGTATGATAAACCATTTGACTCATCGTGAAACGTGTTGCTTACGTCGACTCTGTAGTCAACTCGAGGTTTCAATAAAACACTGGCGACTGGAATAAATCACAAGGTTAGAAATTATAATATAGATTATGATATATAAATATATAAATAAATAAATAAATAAATAAATAAATAAATAAATAAAAGCGAACATTATTCAATTTAAATGTGTAAAAAAATGAAGGAGCCATATTTTATTTTCTTGAACAACGAGGACGACGACGATGATGATGACAATGATGATAAACATGATGGTGGGGATTGCAATAACAATGATAATGATCATGATGACGACGACAACGACCTTGATAATGAAAATTATAGCTATGGGTATGATGATGATGATGATGATGGTGATGATGATGATGATGTTGTCTTTGATTATGATGATGATGATGATGTTAATAATAATAATAATAATAATAATAATAATGAAAATAATAATAATGATAATAATAATAATGGTAATAATAATAATAATAATAATAATAATAATAATAATAATAATAATAATAATGATGATGAGATGATGATGATGATGATGATGATGATGATGATGATGATGATGATGATGATGATGATGATGATGATGATGATAATAATAATAATAATAATCATAATAATAATAATAATAATAATAATAATAATAATAATAATAATAATAAAGATGACGGTAAAAATAATATATTAAAACGTACCTTTATTAAATTCTGATATATTTATTCGGAACTGAATGTCACTTCTTGCATGTATACCATAAGATAAACATCCAAAAACGATTGTTGTTGTAAAAACACATTTTATAAACTGTGGCATTTTTACAGATTTGAGCAAAATATTAAGATGATAATTTAATTCTGATATAATTTTACAATCAAACATTAAGTTCGCTTTAACTTTTGTTATATGATATGATTTATATGCACGATTGTCATAGTTATTTTTTTACGAATACTATTAACGCATCTTAACTTCCTGTTAAGACGTTTTCAAAATCAGTGAAGCGTTTTCCTTATTATTTTTTCTTTTCTACTTGAAACGCAAGTGGTTGTTACGTAATATTACCTGTAATGTAATTGTATTAATTATTCATACATGCTTATAAATGTAAAAATTATGTTGTAGTTTAACAACAAAAAAAAAAACCTCTGCAAAGCGACATCCTGTGGTAGACAACTAAATTGGTAGTTGCTGTGAGCTGTTCCTCTATGAAGGTTAAATTTATTATGAAGTCTTACTTTGAGATAAAGTGAAACTGTATTTTAAGAGAGGTTGTTGCTATACAGATGGTCGCTTTCGAGAGGTTGAAGTGTAAATTTGCCGAAAGTTAAGAGATAATTTTATACAATTAACATCAAACACGAATATTTATAAAAGTATAAAAAATGAATTGGTAGAATTGCATAACAAGATTTTGTCATCTAGACGTAGCTTATCAATTATGCGTTTTTTACTAGAAATCATAGGCTACCTGTGGAAACAGAAAGATGGCAGGGTATACCTTCTTCTGAAAGAAAATGTTCTTTTTGTAATGATGATGTAGGTGACGAATTTCATTATTTGCTCAAATGTCAAAAGATTTTAGATGAAAGAAAACAGTATTTAAAAGGTGTTTTTACGTTAATCCCATTTTGTTAAATAACAAGAATTGTTTACTAGTGAAAAAAGTACTAAATAAACTTAGTATTTTTGTTTAACCTACCCAAGCATGAAATTATGCTTCTAAAATCGTAAAACTAAAAGTAAAACTAAATGTAGCTACATGGTGACACCTAATTTGTTATTCAAACTTCCTGATAAAACGGTTAAAACAGGCTACCCTCCCGAAATATAGCAATAATTTAACGGAACATAATTTAAGTTATAGCCTTAAACATCAGCATCTTGTTAAGAAAGATTTGATTAAACATAATTACATGGCACGCGGAAATATACAAGTTATAAATAACTTTTTTTTAAATAAGGAAGCAATGATTTAACAGGATAAACTTTATGCAAGAAGATAATAAAAATTCAATTATGTGAAGAGTTAAGGATTGTGTTTCTAAACGATAAAGATTCTTGGATATATTTTGATAAATTTATTGAAACAGTTTTATTTTGCGTTGAAAATAGATCAATAAATTTGAATACAGATGATCTAACATAATAACATGTGTTGAGTTGCTGCACTCGTAGACCATGAATGTAAGGGCACACACATATTAAGTGATATTCATTTAAACGTTAATGGTGAAATCATATTGTGGTATATATTTTTCATAGACGTTAGAAATATTAAGTTAATTAAAATTAAAATGAATGAATGACTATTTCCACAAGTTGTGACACAGAACTACGGTGTTCCGTTAGGACTAGCGCGTTTTTTATCTGAGAACGAAAAGCGCGAAACATGACAGCACGATGGTGACATTACGACAGCACAATTGTGACAGTACGACAGTTCGATGGTGACAGTACGACGGTACGATGGTGATCATACGACAATGCAACAGACTGTCACTATCGTGCTTGTAAAAATATTGTTACGCTAGACTTGCCTATTCACGGGAAATCCCCGAATCTTTCAGTTGTTTGAAATAATTTCACCTTTATATTTAAAATTAAACTGATCATAATTGTCATATCCCATCTACCGAAAGTTGGCGTTCATAACGTGAGTAAAGTTTTAATTGTAGCTTTTCTTATTTATTTATTTATAAGCAACATTGCAAAATTTATCGAATAATGTTCTTGTATGCTAAAAACTTATGAATGTGAAAGTATATCGGTAATAAAATGTAAAAGTTTCCAATTTAAGATTGAAAGTAAATCTTTAATTATGTGTTTAGTAATAGCGCATATTTGTGCAATTTCTCGTCTGCTCAATTTACCTATCATACATTAAACTTGTTTTCTTTACAGAAAGAAGATGACACATTGTTATAATAACTTTTGTGCGTTTATTTTCACTATCTACTATGCATTTATCAATTATGTGACACTTTCGCATAGATTTTGAAAATATTGATTTTTGTTGTTGTTGTTGTTGTTTTTAATTCATTTTTTTTCAATTTAAGTCTTGTTTTCTCTATAATGTAAAGTTTTGTAGGATTTGATTGTTCTACCTGGCAAAGAGAAAGAGACACTATGTGTTCATCTATGTGCTTTTTCATGCAATCGACATAAAGAACTAAAACTCTTTTTGCATAACATAATCTAGCGTCTATAGCAGAATTCGAACCAACAACAGCTAGGTCCGGTGATGCGTCAGCGACTTGAGATAATCTCGGGCACTGAATATTCTCCTGCCATAGATATTTAATTTCCTTTGTCACCAAACGTTGTGAAATTTCGAGATTTGTTTTTTTAATATTCCCTTACCCATGTGACGTGCTATAATTATAAGTTCTTTTGTAGGTAAGCAAGCCCTTACAACAAGGAAATAACGTTGAATTAGTGTAAGATGATATCTGTTTACACCATACTTCTGTTATGTGTTTGCTCCAGTGGCGCAGCAAAAAGTGGCGGAGGAATACTACTGAAAATAGGCCAACATGGTCTAAATGAAGGTTACAAATTTTAAAAGTAATTGTTTCACGTGGAAAAAATTGTTATCTTAATTTCAGGTTAGAATATCTGGAATACTTTAAAAGATCTTGCTGGCAACTGGTGAAAATAACATAAGTATTTTTAAATGTATGCCTTGGGATAGTTTTAAAGCGCATGGGATCTTGCAAATTTTCTACTTTTCTGTGTACTGTGAATCGGACAATCTGCGTTCGATGCAGGTCACTTTCGTTGAGATTGACCATGAAATCCTTTCTGCGGTCATTCACATTGTACCTCTGTTCTGGCATGTACAGAAGTTATCAGTTTATCAGTTTCTTGCAAAATTGAAAGCAACTAGTACTGGTAAACTGTTTGACAGCCTGCTCAGGAACGATGCGGTGACTAAACTGTACTCTGGGAAAATTCAGTATGGCTTACGTCCTTGATCCGGAGTGAAAACTACCAATACCATTTTCAACCTAGCAAACACAGATTTTTTCACGATAGCTATAATTAAATCTTAAAAGGAAACTTTGTGGTTTGAATAAATTGCTTTATCATCTTACTAGAAAATATGTGATTTGTTTTCCCTACGAGAAAATAAATCATTACGAAATATATCATTACCGAACTAATGTGGCATGGTCAAAGTACATGGTATATAATGTTAGAATGACACGCAATTCTGTCGTAACCTAATGTTCTTCCAAGAAAAAGGTGCAAAAACAACAGTGCTGTGTTGACTCAGAGCGTTGAAATGTCAATAACCAGATGTGGAAGTTTTTTTTGAATGACTGCATGCCATTCACAAATTTCTTATCTCAAAAAATGATAAAAACCTGTTGTGAATGCACTTGCAAAAATACATTCTCAGATTCATGGAGATCCTCATAGAATAACAGAATGAACTTTAACCTTTTTTATTTAATAATTTCAGCCATTTCGTACGTCATGGACAATGTTCTCATTCCATACCTAGAAAACGACCTTAACATACAAACATTTAACATTCCTCTTGGAGCTGCAACAATACTCATCGAAAAGTAAGCCCCTGTTTCATTCACCATTATATCACTTAGTAAACGGCAGTACACCAGTAGTCCACCTTTTGTTGTTTTTTCGTGTTTGTTTGCATTTTAATAGATTGTATATTCAAGTACTGTATAATGTTTAAAAACTCACTTATTAAACCAATAACTAAGCAATAGAAAGAACATCGAAACACGAGGTTATCTGATTTGTACGATGGGCGTAGCCCCCGAGTATAAATCAGATTTCCAAGTTGCTAAAATTGGTTATGTTTCGTTTTCTTTTCTATACTTTGCGATACTCTTTAAATGATTTTTTTTTATTTTTTAAAAAGTAATGTTTATGGATTGTGTATGGTATACGGTTTCATATAATAAATAAATCCCAATATTTTAAGGAGCAGCAATAACGTTGCAATTTCCATTATGTAATGTAATAATTACCTAAAACGTCATCTTTGCTCACAACATTTTCAAAATATCATTTTGATTTTCAACAGACTGGGGCTACACACATTGGAAGGACAGCATGGTATGGTAAATATCCTAGATGATAACAAAATCAGCATCAAAGTGGGATTCTCGAAAATCGGTCTTAAAGCTAATCTTACACGTGTAGCGCCCGAGTATGTATAACATTTTATTTTTCGGCCTTAACCGATTTGTTTTAACCTTAACTTCCGGTACATTTACAAGCTATTTGCCATCCTTTTAGCGGTGCTTTGTCAATACAGATCAGATAGTATGATGCATGATAAATTTAGCTTATTAAAGATAAAAGAACAACAAGTTAAAAAACTGCACAGGAGATATGTTAATTACTTATATTAACTTTTTGTTGATATCATATTTGGAAACTTCCTAGCAACGGTAAAACCAGGTTATACTCGTCGTCCTTCTACTTTGTTCTTTTATATAGCAATTCCTTCATATATCTAAATTGAACTTTTAGGCTGCTTGGAATTATTTTTAAATGCCACATTATTCTATGATGCGATCAATATTTTTCTTGTCTATTTTATATAGTGATAACATTTATGCTCCGGACACAGTTGTTTTCTTTACTGACTGTAACTTGAAAGTTATATTTTCGCTTGGTAAGTGATTGATTTTTTATTTTAATTCAATTCACTTGATTCCGACAAGAATAAATCAAAAGCCCTTTTTCTAGATGTCGATCAAGTATCTAATGGTTTCTCCTGTTACAAGATTTAATATGAATGTGTATTTTACAAACTATGGATAGTCATATAATATAAGCATGTAATATCCAGTAACTGCTTTGTTAAAAATTTGATTTCTTTCTATCTACCCCATCTACCCTTATTAAAGTTGTAAAATCAAACTAAGGCGCGCTAAATGTTATGTTACACGTCATTGAAAAATGATTCCTTTTCACTTATAACACTCTTTATTTTGGATATCTGATAACAGAATATTATATTCGTGTAATTTCAATACTGAATTTATTGAACTCGTTGAATAAAATAATATTATGCTCGCCAGAGGCAGGCATAATATAACTGAGTTTACACTGGACGGACCTGGCGTCATATGATGGAACATGGTCGTGATCTAAATAAGGCTCAAGTCTATAATCCCTGATGAGAGGCAAATATAGTAACCACTTGTTCGCTGTGCCCCTTTTTATTAGTTATTAAATCAATTTAAATACTGTTTGTCGTCTGTTACTGGTTACCAAGGTTTGGGAGAAAAGAAGGATGGAGTTACACTTGATTCATGCAAAACTGCCATTGGATCATTTTCTGCGAAAGGCACATTGGGTGCGGCACTAGAGGGGCTATTTCTAATCGGGGGTAGCGCTAGTATTGCTTCGCTCGTTGAACAGGTAAATAAATTAATCTAGTAGAGTTAGCGACTTCTTAGAATAAATAGTATTTCTTATTCCTTATTAGTTTAGTTTTTATAGGTTGAACAAAAAATGTACTCAATTGATAGATCACTACTCTGACCGGTTATTTTGAATAGATTTAACCACACACATTGACACGTGTATTTTGGTAACAAATATGTTGTGGTGATATTCTTATTGTATCTACATATCTGATAATTAGATTTAGTCAGGTCCGGGATCTATGCATATATAGGTACTTTAGTCTTGTTTATTCTTTAATTAAATTAACACATTTCGGTTTTTGCCTTAATTGCTTTAGAATGAGTTCTGTTTTTAAACACGTGCTTGATTTACAAAGTATATTGAAATCCACCTATGTCGCAATAGTATATAATGTTTATGTTAAGACTGATCATTTCTGCCCTTTACTTAGCAACATCTTACTGTAAATTGTAAATTCATTAACTATGCGAGCTTTAAATCTCGTGGTTTTGTGAATGAGGACACATTTCGTGAATTATTAAATTCTTTGATTGTCTGTTTCTTTTATTTTCTTCTTCTTCTTTTTTTTTGCAAACTGCACAAATAATACAATGTAGAATAATCTAACAGTAGACGAAATAAAACTCCGTTGGAAAATTGGTGCCCGCGAAAAATTGATGAATAATAGTGTTTCCACTGGGATTGTTGGACTCTTGACTGGCACAGACATAAACTGTGATTTATACAAATAATTAATTAATTAGCTATCATGCCCTTCTGATTCTGATTCTATTCTTATTTCAGATTTGTCCCTCTCTTGAAAATATCACAAATGAAAATCTTGATGACATCCTCAGTGTGCAAGGTAACTAATAAATATATGCAACAGCGCAAACCATTTTAAAATAAATGTGTTTCTCTTAAGATGATCAAACTGTTTAAATATTTCCTTACGCCCTAACATATTTTGGCGATAATTTGCCGCACATATATATTTTTACAATTATACTATTTAACAGTTGTGCCTATCTATTTCATTAGAAGCTTGTTTTAACTAGGTATCCTAGGTTCAAGCTTTTATTGTAATTTTAGATACAGTGAAAATTTCAACCAGGAAGCATGGCGACATATCTGTCAACATGAAACTCTTGTCAGCATCGACGCAGGCAAATGACATTGAAATGAAAGCGGAGGTAACTTTTGTTTACTCAATAATTTGCAATGTAGTCAGAGTCATGAATTGTCTCCCATTAATGTTTGCAACATTAACATCAAGATTTTTATAATTTTAGGTTACGACGGGAGCGGATTCTTTTGTCGGAAATGTTAGTTTTCCAGGACATTCACGCAGAAAAACCTCCCGTGCTGCAAATTTATTGATTAATGACATTCTTCTTGGAGAAGTGTTTAAATACGCAATACAGGTTGATGTTTTTAAAGGATTTGAATTACAGACGACAATTGGAAAGGTAAAAGAAAGGAAACATATATTTTTTGTCATATCCGATATGCTTTATATGTTATGCTTTTGAAATATAATAACAATTTTGACACCATGGAACATGTAGATTGTACTATGTCCATTTTAAAGGACAATTATGCCTCAGAAATGCTATAATTTTTTTTCTCTTGCTCTGTTGTCAAATGGCATAATTATAATGAATAAGTATTTTGTATCATAATACATAATGTACACTTTTCTATCTTAAAGACACAGAAAGTACTGCATGTTCAGCCTGCTTTTACCAGTTGCTAAACATGTAACATGCTCCAAACCATTTTAAAACATTAATTAACACATGTTTGACATTTCTAAAGAATTAAAAGATATATATCTGAGGAATAATGTGCCTTTAAACCTTAAATTGCTATGTCGTTTTGATAACGCAGAGTGCAGAGCAAATCAGATGAGCTAAGAACTAACTCTCCAAGTCAAAATGCATGCTTCTGCTCATGTCTGAAGTACTGCACGGGTGGGCTCCTGTCTTCTTCCTTGACCAGTAAAGCTGGAAAGGCGCCGTTACAGTGTCAGTGCAACTGAATACCCCTAACAAATGCTAAAATTATCAATGATTACAATACAAAAATACAGTTTTAAGGTCTATTTAGTTTTTTGCAATTCATAATGTCCATACTCATTCGAACAATTTTATACTCTACAATCAAATCATTAATTTGGATTTTTTCTTCAGAATAACTATACAATACAAGTCAACGAAACGTCTATACAGAGCAGATTGACGTCATCATCAGAGGGCGTGAGCGTTATATTGAACGTTACGTTTAATGTGTACACTGAATATCAATGTCTGGGATATCGACTTACAATGGTATGCTATATTTTATAAGGAACTTTATTTTTTATACCTAATCTTTGAGACTCACTCAAGGACTTGCGCATGTTACCGCTCATGTCGCAAATACTGCACTGATGGTCCACCTTATCGGTTTTCCTGGATAACTAACCACTATATGAGTCGCGTCACGACAAAACCAACATAATGGGTTTGCGACCAGCATGGATCCAGACCAGCCTGCGCATCCGCGCAGTCTGATCAGGAGCCATACTGTTCGCTTCCAAACCGTATAACAAGTAGAGAAACTGATAAGGAACAGCATAGATCCTGCTGAGACTGCGCGGATGCGCAGGCTGGTCTGGATCCATGCTAATCGCAAACCCATTATGTTTGTTTTGTCATGGCGCGGCTCATACATGTATTGGTTAACCATGCGTTTTACGTTTGGTTAGATAACAAAAGACAAAAGTAAAAGTTAAGTATTTGTTCAAGCACACATCTTTAAGCAAGACTAGTAATCATAGCAAAGTTATTACATTTAAAGTTCTGAACCTGCCGGACCCGAAAGTAATTAGCCTTTGCCACCAGTATAGAGCCAGACTTAAGACTGTTGGTAGCTAATTTAATGAAAAGATTTTAATGTGTATAGATTACTGTGTATGTAATAGGCATTATGCTTTTTATGCTTGTCATCTATATTTTGTTTCGTCCATCCAATATATTATGTTTACTCTCATGTCATTGTATTTTTCATGTCATTATATATGTATGCTTGTATATTTGTTAATCACGATTTAAGTGAAAATAAACGTTCTTCTTATTCTTATTCTTCTTATTCTTCTTCTTCTTCCTCTATTGTATTTTGATCATGAATTCCCTTAAATTTTGAATGAACTCCTAAAAATTTAAAGTTTGGTAAATCTGCAAATCTCTTGCAGAAGTCTTCAAAAATCTTGCACAAATTTAGCAGGTTAAAAAAAACAAATTTCATTACAGGATACCGTCACTCCTCTGGTCTTGGGCTTAAATAACACCTTGATTCAAGTAGAAACAGATAAATACAGGTAAATTAGTTTTCTTTTATATGATTTATCAATACAGACACTTGCGGGTCAGGATCGAACTTCTGACTACCATCCCGGCCGAGTACACGTCTTTAAAACCATATTCTATATTAGTAAACCCATTCACTAATCAACCATCAAACCCTTATTTCAGTTTGTTTGAAAGAAAAATCATTCTTCGATTGGTAAAATTCCATTTTGTTTAATTTTAAAGATGTGTACATGTTGCTTTGATTTGCCTTGACTGATGTTTATTTATTTGTGTTTGTGTTTTTTTACTAACATTGTTACACATTAACACTAACCAGGAATTACCATTTTTCCCATTTTCTGACTACTTAACAAGATTTCAAATTCTCTCGGGATAAGAAACAATCGGGATAAGAAACATTTGAGATAAAATTATTGATATAAGGGCTTGTTGTTTATTTGTTTTGACCAAAAATAGAAAGCATATTTTTATAACATTCCATTTCGTTATCATATTTGAAAAAACTTAGCACCGTTTATATGACCTAACCTCATTGATATAACCTAACCTCATTGATATAACCTAACCTCCTTGATATAACCTAGCCTCATTGATATAACCTAGCCTTATTTATATAACCTAACCTCAATTATATATCCTAACCTCATTAATGTAACATAGTCTTATTGGTATTACTTAGCCTCATTTATATTACCAAACTAACATAATTGATATAACGTCATTGTTATAACCTCATTGATATAAACTAGCCTCATTGATATAACCTCATTGATATAAACTAGCCTCACTGATATAACCCCATTGGTATAACATAGCCTCATTGATATAACGTCATTGGTATAACCTCATTGGTATGATATAGCCTCATTGTTATAAACTAGTCTTATTGATATAACCTGAATGGTATAACATAGCCACATTGATATAACCTAGTATTTCATTAAGATGATGATACAAGTTAGCGATAATTCAACTATATAGTATTTTAAAAGCCATGTTATCAACAGAATTAATTTACTTTAAGCAAGTACATTCTCATAATCTGTATCAATCAAAGTTATTATTTCAAATTGCATTTGCATTAACAGGTTACAGTAAAGGTACTTAGTAATTAAAACAACTTAAGTATGTTAATTGTTTTTTTAGGTTACAAAAGCACTTCACTGTGTCATACTGGAACAAGACGTGTCTTCAAAACATAGAAAAGGTACAATGCCGGTTTTCATAGCAACGGACACTAATATACATGTTAAACGTGAATAATATATATATTTGTTTCTATTGTATCATATTATGAAGGCATTTCTATTGAAAATGTGTCAGAGAAGAATCGTATACCAACCGTACATGCACAGTGCGTTAATTCGATTACCCGCACTCCAGTTACCGCACTGTCTATCAGGCATGCTCGTTGATTGGCTCATGTGTTCTGGTGTTTCATATTGTGACGACAGGGAACGTGCTTTTTCCATTTTGTTTATGAAACAGAAGAGAAAGAACATCAAACCACCCGGCAATCTGATTTACTAGTATACTAGTAAATTATACTAGGATACTAGTATCCTCGTACAAATCAGATAGCCTCGTGTTTCGATGCTCTTTCTATTGTTTAAAATAGTGCATTGTCGCAACTTCCATCCTAGATAAGCGTCATGTATTTAATTAGAAGAACTAAACGAATGACTGATTATAAATACCTAATTATGAAGAACTGTTAAAGGAACTCCACTGAGGTCCAAAAGCCTAAAAATATAAAATTTGAAATATTCATACATGTATAGACCAACTGGCGTACTTCAAACAAAATGATTTTCAAAAGATAAATAAACCATGTGTACTTTCAGTGGCAACAATTATGCTAAATATTTGTCTTGTGACAACGTATCTAATTAGATCTTTTTATTTTTCAAAAGCTAGGTGAAAGCAAGAATGTACAATGGGAGATTCTAAGTCAAACAAATAGTGAATATGAAAAACGACTAATAGGTATGTATAATTTAACAGTTTCTTGACATTCTAGATTGAAATTTGTTTAATGCAAATCTTATTTGCAAAATACATTCCGTGGTCTTTCAGCATTCCGAATAAAAGGCAGAGAGTGTAGGTGGTCGGGTATTCTAGTCGGTAAAGTTGTAGAATGGTATGCCCTTTGGTCCCGGACTCGAGTCCTGATCAAGCTGCATTTCTTTGCTTGTTTAATACTATTGATCGATGTTTTATTAATTTTGCTAATGCAGCCATAGTCTAATCAGTTGTATTGTCATAAACAGAATACAGGCCAGCGTAGTCTGCACTCTTAGAAAGGAACAGGTGTGTTTCCGGAGAGGAAGAGGGACTGTTGACCAGATATTCATCCCTAGAAACATCCTGGAACAGACTAATAAGTAGACTGCTAATATGTATATCCACTTCGTTGATTTTAAGAACGCGTTCGACTCAGTGCCAGTCAGAGACAGTATTTTGGTCATCACGAAAAAGTACGGTATATCAAATAAACTGATCCAAATGGTTAAAACGCTATATGCAGACTTCCAATGCTCTGTGATCGAAGGCAATGAGACTACAGTCCCTTCCTTTGTTATGACGGCATAAAGCAGGGCTGCTGAATGTCGGGATTCTTTTTCCTTTGATTATAGACTGGGTGATGCAGCAGACGGTCAAAGAAATAAATCAGCAGATAGGTCAAAGTCTTTCTTTTGAAAAGCCTAGTTCTCTCCGCATTGTTATATGGATGTGAGACATGGAAACTCACGAAGACAGAGTAAAAGAAAATCCACTCCTTCCAGACAAAATGCCTAAGGAGGATCCTTTAGATCAGATGGCAACAGCGCATATTAAACCTGACTGTACAGGAGATTACAGAAGCACATAACATCAGTGACGAGATCAGGAGGAGGTAGAACTGGATCAGCCACATGTTAAGAAAGGAACGAGCAGATGACTGTGCTGTGGCAGTTGGGTGGTCGCCTGGGGGAAGAAGGAAGAGGGGACACACAAAGACAACGTGGCGACGGATGATGGAAGTAGAAAGAAACAAGGCGGGATGGAACTCCTGGAGCACAGCACGCCGAGAGGCTTCAGACCGCAACATGTGGAAGTCAAATGTCCATTTCTTATGTGCTTCTTGACAAGGAGAGAATTAAGTTAAGTACCATAGTCTATGTGTAATTGTGTATGACCTAATTAATATTTAGATGATGGATTTTTCTTCTATTTCAGGTCAGAGTTTTGAGCTGAAACTCCCAAAACGAAAATGGTACGGATTCAAAGAGCCATGTATAGATACATTAAAAGTATGCGCCATTTTTCTTTGTCTCAATAACCTCCATCTAAAATTAAAAAGATCAGTTTGTTATTAGTTATTCGAATATCCAATTACAAGCTACCTACCAACGTGACGCTCATGTCATGAAATAGAACCGCCGTCTCTTCAACTAGAATTATAAACAAATGTTCCAGATGAGACTTTTAAACCAGAAGCCGCGTGTAATGTTGATTGACATCACTTAAAAGTAACTGTTTTTTCTCCTAAAACTGGGTAATTTCTGTATATTCACTATGTTTCAATAAGGATAAAAATACTAGAAATCGTCTGGCTTGAGTCGCCTTAATGGGTTTCCAGTGGCAATAAATAAACGCAGAGTGACAGAATAGAATAAATCATTATTATTATTTGATCTTTTTGCTGTATATTTCAGGGTGGGGTTGTTTTTTCGTCAGGTCTGCGGTTTGGTAACGTCAGTGAAGTGGTGGAAGAAGCGTTGAAGCACAAATACAATCAGCATTACAAGACGAACGTAACAGTTTACATATATAGTGATGGCGAGAAAATCACGTTTGACGGTAGAAAACCAACGGTAGCTGCCGGTGTTATCATAACTTTAAACGTTTATTTACTGGCCTCCTCAATAATTGTATTTTTATTTTTCTCAAAGGACTTTGATTGTTGAAACCAAATCAACAAAATTAAAAAAAATAAAATCATTGCTCCCGCTTGATTGTCTATGTGAGAAACTCGTTTATAGGTCTACTAAACTTGATTGAATTCGAAAATTGACTCGAAAGTAAATGTTTGAGGCAAGGAGGGGGCTTATGCTTTTGTAATGTAACTTGTCGGCGACACATGACTGCTTCAATATTGCAAATAAGCAGGGGAACTTAAAGCACTGATGTAAATAATTAATTAAGCATTTTACACAAATGAATTTATACAATCCATTACAAAAGCGAATGTATGATATTGTAAAATTTATTTGCAGACATTTTACTGTTTGAATTTATTATCATCTTTTAATGATTTTATCTTGTAATGTTGTAATATATAAGTTGAAATTATAATTTATGCTAAAATGATGGATAAGCGTGTCTAAAAATTGTTTTTTGTTTTACCTTAATTAACCTTTTCGAGCTTTGGCGTAACAGTTAAACTTGTTAATACATGTACCATCTCTGTCATTACAGAGAAAAATTACACATTTGAATACATTTCAAATAATTTTCTGCGATATAAATTCAATACGGCGCAATATATTATAGGTTCTAACGAAAAATGAGAAATTATTTAATTTTACCCATGAAATATGGTGATATATCAGTTTCATATTTTTAAAAAATAAATATGAAATATAAATATGAAAGTGGGCGGAGTCAAAACTCATATTTAATTTAAGGGACTCCTTTGCCTTTTCTGTACGAAATCTGCTGTGGTCATAGTATTATTTTTACAATAGGTTTATCTCTTAGATTTGGTTCGCTAAATTGCTAATCATGGTCATGCAACTACATAGTTAGGTGAAGAAGCAGGCGCTTGTTTTGGTTGAGTCTATTATGTTTTGTTTAGGGGGTGAGTTGTGATACACAAATTTACAATTTATATGCATTTATTTTTTTCCAATGATTGTTATTATCTTAAATGCTTCTGGGATTGTTGTTTTATCAATTCATTTGTAAATAAGATTGTTATATGTCTATTAACGGAATAGTTTTAATGAACACGAAATTAGTTCACACCTACATGTGTATTGGTAACGTGATGGTTTAAGCCAATGAAAACACGTCAATATTATTATACTCAGGCAGAGAAAAAGTGTGCAAAGAGTAAATCGATAATCTTTATGTAGCCAGCAAACTTTGGATTGCAAGTATTTTTTCATATCTTTTCGGCAGAATAAAGTTTTCGAGGATTCGTATCGTAAAATGGCTGCCATTTACAGTATCAAGTGATTATCCCAAGCACCACCGCGACTTAGCGCGGGAATTTTAATTATAGCTAACCTCTGCGCGTATACCTTTTTCATATTTTATTGTAATAAATATTTACAAACTGTGTCTGTCGGGTTTTTTTTATCAATATATAACCAATAATGAGGTTAATATGAATAAATAATCATATCTCAAATCTTTGACTATGATTTACAATGAAATTCTACCTTAAGTGTATTAAAAAGGTTTTTAATTTCCTGTAAGTTTATTTTTGTGATTATGCTTCAAAGCAGTCAATTGACCGTGAATTTTCCTTTCATATTTTGATTTAAAAGTATGCGCCATTTAAAAATAAATCCGAACACCAATATCTTTAATTCAGTCATTAACGCTGTACAGACGTTTAAAGAGTTGTTTACGTGACGTCACAATGTAGCACTAAATATCGCGTGCAAAACAAGACAATAATTATATTACTGCGCGCTGTACAATTGCAGTTGCGTAACAAGCAAGGGGTTCGTAACCATTTTTCTTTGATAATGAAATTAAATAAAAAGTACGGAATTCCATAAACGACAGCCTACTTCTCACTGCCTACTGCTAACTGGACGGCCTGCTGCTCACTGCCGACTGCTTACTGCTTATTGACAGTCTAAGTCTATGTATGGATCAAATAGAAGTATTCCGAATGTACACACATGTGCGCTCGCCATTTTGTTGAAGGTAAACTTTGCGGAAAACAATGGTAAGTAAATTAAAAAGGATCATTTTATAGCCTAATAATTTGTAATTTCGAATTCATTGCAATGACTTGTGTACGTCCCACCATTGCACACTGCTTTGATTATGTTATGAAATGGTTCCACGTGCCTCTTGCACAGGTGATTGATAAATTGTCAAATATAGGACTCATTTTAGACCATTATATCATCTGGACCATTATGTCAACACTCCCTTATTTTATTTAGAATTTCATAGTTTATTAAACTTTCATTAGACAACATTTCTAGAAGAATATCTGTAATATACTGGTGAAATCATTGGCGAAATTTAGGCTAATCAAAAATGTGTGAGTTCATTTACGAGGTCATTTTGGTTCAGTTTTCATTGGCTGTTAGCTATAGCTTATAAATGTGTAATTCCTTATTAGATGTTATGTTATGCATTTTTGTTAAGTTGATTGCACTCTTGATAGTTTAGGTTGCAAAGATATGTGCTTTGAAGGTAATTATAGAATCAATTTTATTCCAGTACAGAGGATGATAAATCTGACAGAAACATTTCAATGGAGGAACAGCCTATACTTGACTTCACAGACAAGCAACAGTTCCAATACACCTGTATGAAAATATTAAAATTACAATGGAAGAGGAAAAGGATTTCATAAATGTATTTGTTCTTATAGACGAGTTTAACTGGCTCCCTTCTGAAAGCATAAACAAAGACAAACTTGGCTGTATTCAAATTGTTTCAAAAACGTTCAATATTTCAATGACATAAAGAGTGCAAACATGAAGTGATAAATTACAGTTTGGATCAGCTTATTTTACTGTTATGAAAAGCCATTGTGCTATTGAAAAATTCTGAAAAATAATAGATTTATAACTATTTAAATTTACTTAAAAATTTCTGATAGACAAAATAATCATGTTAATGTTACAATATATTTTTTGACGTGTTTGTTTAAAATCCATCTTTTATATAATTTTTATAATTATCTTGTTAACAAACACACTTAAAAGTGAACTTTAAGGTTGGTTATTTTTTCTATTTCTTTTTGCAATTACCGCAAGTAAAACCAATGAGCAAATCTGCCTTCGTATTTGCCAGAATCATCCAATGAAAGTCAATACTATTTCTATCAGGGTTCTAGAAGTTTGACAACTAAGGTAAACAGTTCCAAGACATCGTGATAGTGTAGAGCTTTTATTGTATAATATGAAGCATTTTTAAGTTACCTTTCTTACAACGTGTATATCAATTTATATTGCAGAGTATATTAACATTAATATGATTAATCTCATAACAATTATATAATTCATAACAGAACTTTTAATTATAATTCTGCTTTTATATTAATTACTTTCCCCGAAACTTTACAAATATTTTATATAGATTTTGATTTTTTACAGGCGTGTCATAATTTTTATTTTTAAATAACGATGTATACAAGAAAATATTAGCTTACTGGTCTCATTGTTGGGACTAAACATACTTTTTATGTGGTGTTATAATCAATAAGTGTATTTTGTTTTTCATTTTAATTGTAAATAAAAAAGTTCTTTAAAAATAAAATATCATAATTTTCTTGTAATTTTGTTTATGATTAGCTCCCCGGAAAACAAAATTATGACATGTGTTAATCATAAAGCAAAGTTTGTTTGTTGAATGTTGTAACATGACCAAGTTGGAAAAAAAAACAATATTCAACATTGTCCAGATTTAAATAGTGTCTTAGTCCATCAATTTTAAATGCATAGGATCGCGAAAAGTATGTATTAGGAAGATGAAGATTACGTTATATTATTAGTTCTATAAGAAAAACATCTGAAGCTCTAACATCTGGCAAGTTAACTCAATATTTTCTTCAAAACAACTTTACAAATTAACCTAAACTCTCTTTTCTTAAGACAATGAAATAAAAGGACGGTCGTCCATCAATAATTATATTGATTAATCTGTTTTCTTTCCTGTGGTTTTAATGCCTTTATCATAAGTTATAAAAATCAGAATGTAACACAGGCAATACTGCAAAAACTTAAGAATTTCATGCGGAAATGCCTCAAATTTAGGATACCGCAGTTCATCATATCGTTAAACAAATACTAGTACTAACATTCCTTTGTATTAAATAATAATGCCCACCTTTTTTAGGTTTTACGTCACATCGACACAGTATAGGTCATATCGCGACGTTCCAGCTTTACTGGTGGAGGAAGACCTCAGGTGCCCTTCCGTGCATCATTTCAAGCACGAACGGGCACCTGAGTAGAACCACCGACGTTCTGTAAGCTAGCTGGATAGTAATGCCCACGTAACTCAAAGATCTTTCAATGATTTTATTATGCATTATAACACAATAATTGACATGTTAGTCATCATGCATCTGTCGTATAGTTTTTTAACATCTACTAAAGAAACGTTTTCTTGAGTCAAATCTAAGGCTTTGTAGAATTAAGGTATAAATGTACGGTCTACAATCACCAGAACAAGTACATGTATAAACTTTTTAGATAGAACTAAACGGTTCCATGTATGATTTGAACCATGAAGTGTGTATACTTTCCCAGTACGTTTAACAATTATCAGAATAAACTACTGGTAATCCGAGACGTGACTGGTATATAAAATGATTTTGTCTGAAAATCTATATATCTATGTTTTGAGCACCATTATCTAGATAATTTTTTAACAAAACATGATAGCATTATTTTCAAAATGCGAACATAAAACTGACCGTTGTAATTTAAATGTAAAATGTAAAAACAACGACGTTCTTGAAACTACAAGGCCTCCGTTTAAAAATATCATTAAGCACTATAGTTATAGGGTAGGGTCAATATCATTTAATGAACAAATATTATAATATACATGTTATATGGTAGATATATCTAAATGACTGTCTATTACAAGCTTGAACAGGGATATACATGTATAAATAATTAAGCAAGCAGTTATATTTGGTAGCTCAAATTTACCAAACAAGATTTAATGACAGAAAAAACTTGTAATATTTGGTTTGATAACGTTTTTATAAAGTTCACAGGTCTATGATTTGGAAAAGTTCAAGATGCCTGCAAAGATATATACTTATATTTCTGCTTAGTATAACGAGAATTATACATGTAAATGTATAAATGTAACGAGTCCCAAGATTTCAGTCAAAGTCTTCATAAATGATACAGAGTACTGTAATTCCTTGACCAATACTGTTTCAAACGGCCTCATTGTAACATATAAACACATTGGAAGAAGTACGTTAAAGCCAACATTTACTTTCAGGCAGATAGTCGGGTATTCGACAGGTGTAACTGTTGGCATTCGTCAATGAACAGTAAGCATTAAACAGTCGCTGTAAGCATTAAGCAGTTGAAAGTAAGCAGTAGGCAGTTGACAGTAAGCAGTTGACAGTAGGCAGTTGACAGTAAACA